CTTCAACATCGTTACTAAAGTTTACACATAAGCCTTATCCACAAGTTCTAACTAGAATAAAATCGAGGTACAAAGTTACCTGGTAATTACATTCAGTTTTTAACTAATTACAGGTAGAATGTATTGAGACTAGTGACCACAGTGCAACTTAATCTATATAGTTTAGTAATAACTAAGGAATACAGATCTATGACATTGCGGACTATTAATTTAGCAATTTAAACTAGATTTCGTCAATCACTAACCACCGACTACCTGAACTTACAACGTCAGCTAGTGTGGAAGTTACGTTTTTAGAATGCTAGGGGCAGTCAAATATGGTATTAGTTTGTGAAGGCGCTTACTGCTAATCTAATTGATATTGGTAGATACAGATTACCTGACTGAAGTTCGCGTGATAACGTCCACCAGTGAATGAAGTCTTAAGGACATGGTTTAGAATTGATCACTACCCGTGCCTAGTGAACATAAGACTGGTTAATACTATTAAATAATTATTTAGTATCAGTGTAGATGTACTCCGTACTCCGATGTTAACACGATTTCTGATAAAAACCACAAACACACGCGTTCATAGTCAAATGCGATCACGTAAGGTCAAAGACATTTATCTCGGTTAACAAGTAATTATTTAATATGACCTACATGTGATATTATCAACCAGATAACATCCGAATTATTTATTAACACTGAACAAATCATCACATTGTATTTAGTGAAATATTTCATACTTTTACTTCACATTATGAGCCACAACTCAAAGTATTTCATTGATACTATTATTTCAGTATAAATAATACATTTTTTACTGTAATTTATTCCATTCAATGAAACATTTGGTTTGAAGTTAGAGTGATTCACTGTAGATAAACTATATAAATCTGAATATTAAAAAATGTATGAGTAAAATAGATTCTATTTATCTTTTCAGCTCAACTTAATGTTTGTGTAGAATAACAACTCAAGACTCTCAATGGAATGCTCTTCACGAACCCATAAAAGATATGGTAATAAGTCAACATAACAAACACAGTTGTTAAGGGTTATAAATTGATCATCACTTTAGTTTTCTTATCCAGGCTCAAAAAGGAAGTGCTCGGTACCAAAGCAACCAACACTACGAAGGAAACAGTGATCTGATAGAAGACCGACTAACATTGTGCGCGTAAACTGACAAAATTCATGAAAATGCCCGAATACATTGATTTATATGCCAATTTAAAAGGTTCATCAAAATGGGTTATACAACATCTCACTAATCAATCAAATGATATTTTTTAAAATCATTCTAAACAGGGAAACAAATCATGAAAACTCAACTTAGCTAATAATATCAAGCATAAATGTATCGTTCTCTAAGCCATATTATCGAGCTTAAGTATTTTCATTTTAAGTAGGAGCGAGCAAGAACTTTAGAGTTTTACATTTTATTTTACAATTTCTTAATGTCCTTTAATATAAGTCAAATTTAATACGACCACAGTTAGAAAGAAAAAAAACTATTGGATAGCTGTAAAATTTTATTTTTCATTTCTCATTGCATTATCGAGATTACTAGACAGTTTGAAAATACTGAATTTCCAGCAGTAAAACCTAAGATCATGTTTATTTCAAGTCACTTAGCTACTTTACTAACTGGGAGGGATAGCAACCATGCATCACAGAGACAAGTTGTCAAGTAAATTTGTAAACCTTCTTTTAATATCACTAAAACTCTAGTGTTAATGAATGCAAACAAATTGTCTTAAAAATCACACGTTGATTATGAATGCAGTGGTCTTGAATGCTGTTAGAGGTATGAGGGCGGTTATCACTTCCCGGATGCCCACACCGTGGAAGAGTTCTTCTAGAGGTACCTGAAAAAAATTAGATTAGAGGTGGTCTTAGTGACCTGAGAGCGTGACCACACTGCCCAAGGGACAACTGCTTGAGGTCGGTCACACACGACCTTTTAATGGGTAATTTTTGTGTTAGCTCCGTACTTGTTGAGACCTTACCACCGGAGACGGATATCCGTGGGATAAGGCGAGGTGTGCATTTTTAGGGTAGACCTTGTGGGAAGGCAGCATCGCTGTCATGCTGGTTGTCTGAAGGAAACACTTTACTGCTGTCACACCTCTGTACAGTCAGCAGTAGGACTTCGCCTTCGGACCTTGGATTTGTTGCTTTTAGTCTTACCGCTCTTCAACCGACTTGTCTGACATGGTAGGACTTTGTTCCAGCCAGTATAGCTCGGTTGGTTCATCATGATAAGCAAGCCCGACCACCACGTCAAGGTAGCAACAACGGTCGGGTGTCTTAAATATAGCAACTCTTCATTGAGAATTACAAACGACTAAACATTTATTGTTTAAAAAATTACTTACAATAATTGGTAGTGAGTTTCTGAGGTTTTTAACACTATGGTGCACTAAAGGTTTTATTAATCCAGAAACGACTGGTGAATTTAAAAGCTGGGTAGACGTTATTGAAAATGTCCAACATCCCTTGTTTGTCGATATTTTCATCACACACGATTGGTGTGCCATCTCTAGCGAGGAAGAGAAAGACAATAGTATGAATTTCTTTGATGTCCTACTTTGAAGAAGGATAGAAGGTTCCATAAAACGAAATATACTTAGAAATAATAGATGAACAGGTCAGTATACCCATTTCCAAAGCTTTACACCTCTTCAATATAAAATGAATTTAGTTAAATGTCTCAGCCACTGAATCAAGCTATTATGTTCTGAGAACAGTGTCGATAGCGAAATAGATATACTAAAGAATACACTACGAAATAATGGCTACCCAGATAATTTCTTCAGAAAATTCCTAGCAGAAAGTATTAGAAATAGAAGGAATTATGACTCAGTAAAAACACCCTCTATCTGAGACTGGACTTTGAAGGGGACATAACGGGTGATATTTTAACGTCGACTCAGAAGATCTGTTGAAAGGACGTTTCACGCTGCCAAGCTACACATAATTTTCTCAACTAAACCAGTACTCACATCAAATCTAGGATAGATTACCGATGATGGGCTCCTCCATGTGTGTATACCAGTTCAACTGCTCCTGTGGAGCTAGTTAATAGACCGTACTCAAAGGGCTTTATTCTTGCGTGTTCGTGAATATGTACCAGCGCGGTTGGGAAAAGGAGTCACCAAGTTGACCGACAGCAGTATCATTTCTCACTTGGTAGATAGCGAACATCATGTCAATATAGCTGAAGCTTTCTCTGTCTTATACCAAGTTCCAGAAAATCTACCTGAATGAGCTAGACTACGGTTACTATACATAGCCGAAACCATCTGGATCAACTCCCGAAAACTAGAAATAGTATATCCAGCCTCTATGTTTACCTTGGCCTACGACTAGATCACCGGATACTTAAATTGAATATTAAAAACTTCTTACGCTCTACCCTTTTTTGATTACATCCATCATTCCCAATTCAAATGAATCCTTTTTTGTTTATCGTAATTACCCTGATAACACCCCTCTTATTACAAATTATATTCACATAACAATATTATCATTGTTATTATTATATTACTATTATTTTTATTATCACAATTGACAAGATGAAATTCTCTTACTGTGCATTTTATTCACACGACTTTTTTGTATCACTATTCTACTGATTGTGACCGGACACTTTACTCCAAATCATTCTGACCATTATTAAATGACCTTTCTAATTTTCAAATAACACAACTTTGAAGTATTTATATCGTAATATATGCAAACGTTCACCATTTTTAACATATAACATTGTCGAATTCCATAGTACATGCCTTATTTTGGCCTTCGTAAAATATCATAATTATGGACTTATAACTGTAGAGCCTGATGATGAAGTTATTGAAAACAATTGTTCGCTCAAATATTTTTCATTTTTGAATATTCTATGGGGATTTTTAAACTGCTGATATATATTTTGTGCAATCTTAAGTCTTTGGAAGAGTTAACTCTTCGTATATTATCTCTATCACTTATTTCTTTACTGTAAATTTGAATGTTTATTTCCAGCCGTCAAAATTCTCTATATGCAGCTTTCTGTAAATTTGCAGTGAACAAAGACGAATTTCCTTTACCGATTTAATATTCATTAAATGTGGTAGTTTTTCGTCCTACTCTCAGGCAAATAATTTGTTTGATGGAAACTCTGACAAAATGCAAAAGTCTTATGATCACCTTTAGCAATAATACAGGCATGTTTCTTCATCCTTGAATGCAAGACATTGCTTCGCAGCTGATCTCTGTTTATCATAGAACTAATAATCGAAGGTGGAGTAGTTAAGCGTTTTGACCTCTTTATTTATCCTGAAAGCTTTGTCAGCCCTGGTGGGTTGCAACCTGACGAAGTTTGGGGACACTATCAAAACGTCCAATCCACTTTTGAAATCATGCGTCACTTGTGGCAAAAGTGAAATGACTGTTCACTATTTAAAGGACGAGTATCCTAAGTACTAGCTCACTGTTTTCCAATTTATAGTTGTAAAACACGCTCTACGAAAATAGAAGATATGCATAAGCTGAAATCTTTTGATTATGGGTGTTTCCGAATCATTGCTGGCGTTTCATGAAACAAAAGAAGTGAGAAGTGTTGAGGCTAAGTATGGGGTTCTAAGTAAAGGTTGCAAATTGGTTGATGAAATTGTGAATCTCCGCCGAATGAGGTGGCTAGGATGTATGGCACGTAGGTCAAACCACCACTGACCTCGAAAAGCCATGCTTATTAGTGTAAAACATAGATTGTAAGGAAGCTGAGAGGTGACAAAACTAGAAAGTGGAGTGAGTTTTTGAAGTCGCTGACTGATGGAATGAGCAGTGTTGGTCGGACAAAACCACCGAGTTGGGTTCACATACTCAATATTACACCAGCCACTTAATAAATCTGTAGACAAACGAAAACCTCAACTAACTAATATCTAATCACAATTACAAGAACATACTATCAGTTTCTACAGGAAAAGTAACCTAATTAATTAAAAAGACAAAATAAGATAAGATATGGCAATACTAAAGAGCAATAATTATTGTTCTATAAAATATCTTCATCACATATAAACTAGAATAAACGACCAATAAACAATAGTAATATTTAATTCTAAACAAAAAGTCAAAGTAACAAATAAACACACTAAACTCTATCTGGTGTGAACTAAAATTTTGTCTATAAAAAAAGATTTAGAAATAAATTCGCACTTATATTTTTTTATTCCAACCGCTGTCGTTGTTTATTGCTAAGTGTTTATTTATATACATGTTTAACAATATTCGGGGAATAACGCTTTGAGTTGAGCTTCGGTATTTTCCGGTGACGTAACAGTATGTCCGATGGTTCGTGGGTCATTGAATATTTCGTAATCATTTCCACCCTGAGAATACAGAATTATTAAAAATAAAAAGCAATAATATACTGTATAATGTGAAGTAAACCAAAAACATATGTAAGATGATTGGTCAATATTATGACAAGCCCAGTAATCTGTATCTACTATTTTGAGGGAAAACAACTACCCTCACAAAGCTTGAAAACGTGTCACTCAATGTCCATTGGAGATGTTACGATTGAGTTACTTGTAGGTATCGATACCAAGGTTGAACGTGATAGTTTCATATAAATTGAGAGTTGGTTAGAAAGTTGATTGTAAAGATATTTTTGTGATATCCCCAATGAGTAGGTAATTGTATTTCTGACGTTCCGTGACTTAATGTAAGTGACTATCGTAACCGATGGTTGGAGACTCTTGGTGACATGGCTCAGAATCGATCACAATGGCGTCGGTGTATACACTCCCTGTCTTCCCTTAAACTAAGAGATTAAAATCGCTTCATATCTTTCTTTCTACGAACCAATTCTTTCTTCTTGTACTATATCTCTATATGCAATCTTTCTCTTACATATTACCACCTTTTACCTAACCACTGTTATGAATCTGGTGTTCATCTTGTTGTGCTGATGCGGTATGGCAATCTGGACCGATGCACATATGAGTCTGGTCCTACGTTGTAGCTGACTGACTGACTATTCAGAATTAAGTGACTGATATTAGGTCATTCAGAAGTACAATTTTAAACTCAGTGGGATATGACAAATACATATTTATTATTGAATTATCTGGTTCTTCGTTGGTCATTAATCCGAAAATATATGAAAAATATACTCAGATTTCGTTAGATTTCTTTATGATCACTTTGTTCCATGTATTGTGTCATCTGTGTGAAGACTATTAATTGTATTATTATCCTCCTATTTTTACATTTCAATATAGTTTGACTTTGTTTAAGTATACATTATATTTCGATAAATACAGGATATAAAAGTTTTCACTTGTGTGTTTTTAAACAATGGACAAATAAAAAGGATCATAAAAACGTAATTACTAATTGTATACAAATTTATTTAACTGTGACAGTCATGCACAAAAAATACGAAGGCATGAAATATGTCAACATCCATTAATTTTATTGCTATTACCTCTTCTGTTTTGTCACCAAAGAAATGTATAGTATCGTAATCTTTAAGGAATTGTAAGCAGTATCGTTTGTCCCAACCTTTTGGAAAAACATCAATACTAATTTGTCCACCTACAAAAGACATGTAAACAAACTATATGATTACAGGTGTTCATTAATATCATAAAACAATGTAATGCAATACTGAAATATATCGGGCGATCAGTGGCTTAGATGATAACAAAGCATTTAGCTATGAAGTGTCAAAAAACAAGGTCAAATCCTTTTTCACCTACTTCGATTTAGAGATAGTTGCAGTCACAGAAAATTGAGAACTAGATAGCATCGAGAAAATGAAATTCGGTAGCGATGCCTGCCTAAGACTTTAGCATATATAGGACACTATCAATGTTTAAGCGTTCAGGTGCAGATGTCATCCTTAAACAACTAAGTATTGGTCGACCTTTTCAACTTCAATTAACTCGTGGTATACGATGATGATCATCCACTATCATAAGTGATATTTGTCTCAAGAGTAGCAGAATTTGGATCTGAGGCTTAATGATTATTTCAAAACATTCAACACTGACTCATCATTCTGTATCCTCAACTTTAAGCCTTACTCAACGTTTAAAAACAATTGTGCATAAGGTGACTGACATTAACCTATCTTTTTAACCACTATATATACTGTGTAGAGTAGAAACGTGTCCCGATATATGTTTATCCCAGGTTTTTATTTTCTAAATAACTGGCGGACTGTATGAATTAGCTTACCTATAGCGAACTCTAAAGGACTTGAATGAAATTCCGAACGCATTTTCATGACGAAATTTTCGCGAATTTTATGTTTCTAAAGTAAAAAAAATAGAACGGTCGAAAACATTCATTCCATTACCATATCATCGATAGGTGGTGATATAAATGCGCTTAGAGAAAAAGACCAAATTATTGACAGATTACACTAGTAATGGCATAGATGTTGTACACATTAATTCATTTGAAAACATTGTTAGTGAGAGCTAGAAGGATGAGATGATATCTAACATCAAGAATTCACTCATATAATTGAATAAAAAACTTCTGATCATGAATCGTATCTTAGGGTGTAGACAATGTTTGTCTAAATAGACGATTCAATAATGTCAATCTGGTCTGAACATTTGGTTCTTAAGTTCTCTTACAAAGCACAAAGGCTAAGTGGAATGTACTAAAACCAGAAGCAGTTCATACCATTATTAAAACTTAATGCATGTACCAGATTCATAGGTAAAATCATATTGTTAATTGCTGTGAGATAGAACCATACTTTTATTACGAGGTATTAGGAAAGGCTATCTTTAAGAAATGATTTGTTACTACTGTTCCATAAATGTTACATGACGGTAAATCCTGAACAAAGTGTACAATAACAATTTTATTTTACTTCAATTTTAGTTATACGTACAGGTTAAGTAGACAAGCAACAGCAGCTAACTTTTTTATGTTACTAGGGTGCAACTGTAATATAATATGTATTGATAAGAAATATTTATCACCTGCACATTTACAGAGACACACCGTGGTCCCTTAAATTGTACAAGAATCTGTGAAACAAGTGGACAAATTACAATACCTCCATCGATTTAGAAGTTTGACAATAAGACTTAAGGGAAAACTGTTGGACAGCCGATTGTGAAACGCCTATTTTGCAGTATGTAAAGAACGATTACATATTTTCAGTGAATATTAATCATTCTTACCGCATCATATTCAGCGAATTCATCTCGTTCTTTCTGACTACAGCTTCGTCCAACTGGACACACATTTATCAAACCATTTCTGAATTCAATAAAATTTCCTCTTTTCCTCGGAAGCCAGATGTTTGACATATACTGGAGACAGAAATTGATGAAACGTTGAAGGATGTCCTCACCAACATGCTCAACAATATTCTGAAATGAAATTACATCGAAGAAAACTTGGTTACATACTGTGCTTTTAATTTTCTGACCATAACTGTGTACTACCAAACCATTTTCAGAGAATATATATGAAAATTTTTCGGTAACTTCATGCGTAAATTAAAAGCGTTATTTATAAAAATTCTTACCGAATGTCCCAATCTGTGAAGAAACCTTCTGGAAATCGGAACCACTAACCACAGCCAAGGGAATATTAGCGCACAATTTAAGCAAACATTCAGTCATATGATCGGATATAATATTGCGTGGCTTTGTAAGTGTTCCATCAACGTCAAACAGGCATATTACTTTTTTGTTCATAGTAAACAAACAACTAAAAAAACGGTTAATAGAATACTATTTTTATAACGATTTAAAAGTAGATATGAAGGTTTACAAAACATACAATTCGAAGCACATCAATTCAGGAGACTTATCTCTGATTCTATGAGGTGAATTCGAAATTTCTCTATCTTTAGTCATTCTACGACAAACGTCCAATTTTAATAGTCTTTTTTTCATTTTTACATATGGTTTTATAAGCAAAAAGCTTTTAGCATCCGTGAAGTGTTCAGTAGGAAAATTTGAAGTATAAAAAACAACAAAGAAATTAAGACTGTTCCCAGAACAACCAAGAGGAAGCAAGGAATAGCAGACAGTCCTGGTAATTAGATCGGATGATCAAACCGGGTGGTTAAAAGAACAGATCTTTTATATCAACAGATAAACGTGTATCTATTTAAGTAGAGCCAATAAAGAAAAAGTCTAGAAAACCGGTAATAATAAAGGAACTTGTATAAGCGAATATAATTGCGAAAAATAATGGTCACTTATGTTTTAAAGCTCATATAATAGAGCTTATCTGAAGGATAAGATTCATATTGATATGAATAGAGATTCGACTAAGAACGATACTATGATATCTAGCTTAAGTTTATATATCAAGTACTATATACACGTTAGTCTATTTATTATTTTTCTAATAAGTTTAGCTAGAATCCCTTGAAGTTATAAAGAAGAACAATAAGTTAATCGTTGAAATATTTATTTGGTGACATGACGTGTCGATTTAACTCTACGAATGAACCGTTTCCTGTGATGCTAAAATAAATTTTGGAGCATGCAGTGTAATTCTGGAGTAACTATAATTTATGGACGAACCAACCAGGTATAATTAGACGGGTATAGGCTATTGGCGCGAAATTCACTCATCCATTTACCTGAGTAGGGTTTTGACATTAAAGCTGATGTCAGTTCGTTATGAAAACCCTAAATCTAATTTTTCATCCTAACCATGAAATGTAAGCCTGCATTTTAATTCCTCACACCAGTTTATAACCCTCGTTTGGTCGTCAACAGTTGAAAACTCTCGAGGTCATTCGCACAAATGTCATTCTTAATTTATAGTTTCACCGTAAGTGCTATAATTCGGTAAACAATGATAATTCTATTTGGAATTCGTAAGGAGCAGCAAAACTGTCATTTTCCAGAACACTTTGTGATACAACCCAACATAATAAATAATGACGCTGACTACGTAGCTAACAGTAACCTTGAAAAACCCAAATAAGCACGGAGAAAATAATTACTTTGTGGATTGTTAAAACACAAAAAATACCATGTCTCATATTACTAAAAATAGAAAAATATTCGATGAATCCATCATTGTTTACTCATTGTTATCATTTTATCTACAATTTTGCTTGTGACGACTTAGTGTAAAGTGGTCATTAACTTTTCCGTTAAGATTTTAGTCAAGTTATTGTTAAAACATTATTTATGAAAACTTATGAACAGCAGCGTATTTCAGCTTTAGACAAAGATTTTCTGTACGATGTTGATGCTTGGGGTTGTAGTGACCGACTTTTATCGAGGGAACGCGGATGGTTTGATGGAAACAATAATTATTATAATCAATTGCACTGGTTACTGTGTTATTGTACATGTTTGTTTAAATGTAATAAAGACATTGTCACCTTGCACAAATTTGGTTACGCTCAGTAACCACACTTGAAAGCTGGCACGATCTCGTTATAATTTAGATACCACGAGATCGCCGAAAAATACATCTCGACTAAAGTCATCAACTGCATTCTGATATATGGCTTAAGGAAAATCTTAACGGCTGGGTTGCACGTGATCTGCCTGTAGTGGTGATCATAGTCATCCGCCATTCGAAGCCATACTACATAGTTATTCCCCAAGGCTAAACATGCCACCGTTAGTATAAGGACGTTTGAAATTCCCGTCCAATTCATACCGGAGCATCTTGGCCATTTTGTCCTGCAAAATGGGTAGGAGGTCAGAGCTGTCTTAAAATGTCTAAGGTATGAGAGAACCACTAAAATCCGTGATTGAATTTTCAGTTTTTGGGGTGTGTAGATTCGTGGGTCCTTTTAAGTTTGGAAGTTGATTTACATTTAGAATTTCGCGCTCTTTGCTAACTGAATGGATAATCTTAGAGGTAGATTGCATAGCTAATTCATTTATTGAGTTCTACAGGACCTAAGCTTTTCGGCATTTTAACAGTGATAGACAATCATTTTTAACGTCGCTGAATGGGTCTTGCCGTCTACAGAATTTTCGGGGTTTACAGAAACGCCTAAGGAGCCAATGATGGCGGACACAAATATGCTGAAATTATCCAACACAAAAGATGTCACAGAAGTGTCAAGTTTTAGCGTATCCTCACAAATGTCTATGCGTTTTGCGTGAATACTATTGTTGTCGAATACCTATTCAGAATTGCTTTTCTTAGGGTTGCTGACTAAGTTTTCCACAGGCATAACAACAGAATGATTATTTTGCATAGAAAATCCTTAGCTGTCATTTTTCATGTAACTCCATACCCACTTACGACCTGACTTATTAAGGTTATCGTCTGTGAGATTTGTGCATTTGTCACACTATGTACCACAGATGACGGTAACGTGGCATCCAGGTTGAATAATTGAGTTCTTCCCAACTATTGTGAAAGGGTGATCTTATCCGCAACGCAACCATGTAAACTTAATGTACCGGTCATCTTTGCGTTCAAGTAACCACAGATTTTGACATTTCATAATGTATTTTTAATTAAATAACTAGATTATATAGCTAATTTTGATCTTTTTTAATATTTTTATTCGCCACGTTCGACTGCGTTACACTGCACGTCCATTGCATACTGGGATGATATCTCAAGTCATAGTGAGTTTATTCACATAGTTGATTGTTTCCAGATAGACTGTCAGTGCATGATTTTACTGTAGAAAGGTTTATTGTACTATAATCTATGTTTTTATGAACAACTGCTTGTTGTCGTCAGTCGGAAAGCAATATATATATTCTTTGTCTTCTGTTCGGTAAGTTCAATTGGCCTATATTTCGTGTTTTTGTTTTATCGTCTTAATTATGTCCATTTAACTACTTTAAGCAATATGCCTGTGCAAATGAAACAATAACTATGACACTTGCTTAGTTTAGTATTCTTGGTTGTCGTATAATTCAGTTTAGTTGAAAGAATTATGGTATACTTAAGTATAGTGCTTGAAGTCTGTAACGAAACAGATCAGCCTAGTAAGTAGAGTTGCCTGTTTCTGATGAGTATACTGATTCAAATCAGTCTGATCAAAAATAGGAAAAAAGTGCTTTTGGTACTGTTGCTGTCATACATTATAAGATAGCGATAAGTATGTTTGGTGTTTATTTCTAGATTGTACATCTATCACTGACCATATTTCATGATCACTGTCATTAAACAATTTCCCCAGCAATAACATCGGTAGAAGGATAGCTAAGTATCTGAGCTTTTATTTGCCCGTGGAAGAGCAGTATACAGTCTTAGAAGATGAGTGTTCTGTATTTCAATTAAATGCAGTTGGCTGTGGACAAATGTTAAGAATCTTTTTGACAACTAGGACTTTTAGTTCATCAAACACTAACTCTGCTTGTATGTCTCCCTGTTAAACTAGATGCAGATACATGGTAATACTTAAATGAGAGCAAAATAATAAAAGCATTGAGATACGGTATTAAGTCCATGTTATGCTTTGCACAATAAATAGCTGACCTGACCTAATATTCATGAACTAAAGGTAAATCACAACTGCATAAATTCTTTGCTAAAATACATGTAATTTGGTTATTTATCTATTCCACATTTCTGACTAAATTCATTACTGTTTTCTCATTTAGAATGCAACAGGACTGAGTCTTCACAGATGTTAAGAACTGTTTCGCCCTTAGAACTATGGCCCTATGGATCTGTTTACGGGAGACCCAACTAACAGCAGATTATAAAAAGGATGCTGGATGTCCATTTTAATCTCACAACCACTTCCAGTACTTTTTGAGTTACTTCTTTTACCCTTTCGTTTGGAAAAAACAACAAAAACTGCAGCTTAACATTACAAATGCAACTTTTAGACTGGAACTTGGTATAAACCTTTGTTTCATATTCGATTCTTAATGAAAGTTCTGGAATAAATTTTTGAACCTAATGCTACTTTGTTTTATCTACTTAATCGTTGCAAGAAACTTGTGATACTCGAGCCTCTCATCACCTAATTCATGTGTTCGTGCTTCCGTGTCTATTAGCAGGGGATCACCAAAACCTCCAAGCAGCAACCTAGGTATGTTAACAATAAAAGATCCAGTCGCCTCCCAAATGACTCCTGGGAAGTCGCTTGGACTAGTTCGGCGAGCAGCGAATTCCAGCATTTGACAACTCTTAAGGAGTAGAAGTTGCGTCTACAGTCCATTCCGCTATGTCGTGTCTCTAGTTTCTGGGACTAAGCTCAAATAGGTGTTTAAGAAAATGTCCAGAAGTTTTAAGGATCCTGTAAGTAAATAGGTCACCTCTAAGAAGTCTATACTTTAATGAGTAGAGGTTAAGTGATTGGAGGCGCTCTTCATAAGGTGATTTGGTGCATATCTCCGTCACTTTCTTAGGAAACCTACAGGCTCGGGTCCTCTCACAACTTATTCTAGCCACCGTGAGTTGCCACGAAAACTGATGGATGGACACGCGTTACACATCCTAACCGTCCCTGCATCTAATCTCATAGCTTCTTATTCAGGCCCTGACAGGTTTACTCCTGAGATTTTTAAGGATGGTGGTCCAGTATTAGCAATGAGATTAACCGAGGTCTTAGGTAGAATTTGGGAACTGGACGTAATCCCATCTGACTGGTCTCAATCACTGATTGTACCAGTCTATAAGAAAGGACAAAAGTCCTCTTGTGACAATCATAGAGGAATCAGTTTGACTAATATAGTGTCTAAAATATTAGCTTCAATAATACTTCGACGCCTAATCAAAGCTCGTGAAGAGCAGACTAGAGAAAATCAGGCTGGTTTTCGACCTGGACGTGGTTGTATAGACCAAATATTCACACTACGTCAGGTTCTAGAACACAGACACACGTTTAGACGCCCCACAATGGTAGTATTTCTCGACCTTAAGGCGGCATTCGACTCTGTTGATCGTAAGGTTCTATGGCAGTGTTTGTCACTGAAAGGAGTACCAAAGAAGTACATTAACCTTATTCAGGCTCTCTACTCGAACACAACTGGTAGAGTGAGAGCTTATGGCGAACTGTCATCAGAATTGATTACCTCAAGTGGTGTTCATCAGGGCTGTCCACTCTCCCCATTCTTGTTCAACTTTGTGGTCGACGTACTTTTAGAGATAACACTCTCCTCATCTAAATTTCCGGGGGTTGAACTTCTACCGGGAGGTTCACTTGTTGACTTAGAATATGCAGATGACATAGTTTTATTTGGTGAAGACGCTGACAAAATGCAGAGTCTTCTGACCACTCTAAGCAACAATGCAAGCATGTTCGGGATGCGATTCTCTCCCTCGAAATGCAAAATGTTGCTTCAGGATTGGGTTACATCGACACCCGAACTAGTGATAGGGAGTGAAGTAGTTGAGTGTGTCGACCGCTTCACTTATCTTGGAAGTCTCATCAGCCCTTGTGGTCTGGTGTGTGACGAAATCTCAGCACGGATACAGAAGGCTCGACTAGCTTTTGCCAACTTGCGTCATTTATGGCGTAGGCGAGATATCCGTCTATCAACCAAAGGACGTGTTTACTGTGCAGCAGTTCGTTCCGTCCTACTTTATGGCTGTGAAACATGGCCGGTAAGAGTAGAGGATATTCGTAGGTTACTAGTATTCGATCATAGGTGTCTTCGAAGTATTGCTCGTATATCCTGGGACCACCGAGTAAGTAACGCAGTTGTTAGGAAACGGGTACTAGGTAAGGATGGCAAATCAATTGATAAAGTAGTGAAACTTCAACAGTTGAGATGGCTGGGACACGTGTTACGTATGCCCAACCACCGACTACCTCGACGTGCTATATTCAGTGGTATAGGAGTAGGTTGGAAGAAAGCTAGGGGCGGCCAGACCAGACTACCTGGTTGGGGACCGCGAGATGATAGCAACCGATGGTTAGAGACCCTGAATGACATGGCTCAAAATCGTTTGCAATGGCGCAGGTGCATCCACTCTCTATGTTCTCCCAAATTCTAATTATCTGAATTCTTCATGGCCCCTTTTTTCCT